ACGCATCAGAAAAAGCAGGCTTCCACGTTGGCGTCAGCCACAAAAAAAAACCGACGCCTGCCGAAGCCCATCGCTTTGTCAGTCGGCACTCCGCAACCCACCGAGCCACATCGGCAAGTCGGCGACCGGGCGGGGGGGGGGGGGGGGGGGGCAGCCACCGACCGCTGGGCCTGTCGCAGCGCTCGCCGGCCGACGCCCACGACAGCGGCGCCACCGGACGGCCTGCAGACAACCGCACCGGCGCGCCCCGCCATGATGATGACATAAATCTGCATTAATTGCGCCGGGCGGGCGCCGTAAAAGGAGGGCTGGCCGCCGCCTGCTGCCGGCACCGGAGGTTGGCGCCGCTCGCTGCCTGGGGTCAGCAGCAAGCCTCCGGGACCGCCGGTCGGCGCGGCCTATTTTGTGGAGTCGGCAGGGGGCCTCCGAGACCCGCCGGGCGATGCCACCCGCTGCCTGGAGTCGGTAGCGAGCTTTCGAGACCGCCAGCTCGCGCGGTCTACTCTGTGGAGTCAGAGCCTCCGGGACCGCAGGTCGGCGCCGCTTGCTTCCTGGAATCAGAAACGAGCCTTCGCGACCGCCAGCCGGCGCGGTCTACTCTGTGGGGTCAGGAGCGAGACTCCGGGACCGGCGGTCGATGCCGCCCGCTGCCTGGAGCCAGAAGCGAGCCTTCGAGACCGCCGGCTCGCGCGATTTACTGTGTGGAGTCAGGCGCGAGACTCCGGGACGCCCACCGGTGTCGCTTGCTCCCTGGAGTCAGGAGCGAGTCTCTGTTGGACCTGAGTCTCTGGAGTCTCTGTTGGACGAGATCCGACCGACCGACCGACTCGCACCGCGCCGCCAGAGAGATCGCACCGCGTTTAGATCACCGCACCGCCAGATAGATCGCACCGCCAGGTCAACTCTGTTTAAAGCCTAATGGCCTGGCTGTTAGTGTCGGGAATATCTCGGGTGGTGTAAACGTTTACACAGGAGCGCCGACCACTGTGATCTTCACAGTTTAGTCGCATAAGCTGACTGAGCTTATCCCGGTATGCCGCTAACTATCGATCTCTGACGTCTTTTCTACAGGTCGACAAGACGTGTGAACCACGACATGCCGATGATTCAGGACGCGATACTTTTGGCCAGTCTTTTCACCGAACGTCGTGGGCGCATGGCCGAGTTCAAAATCATTGGAGGCGCCCGCGATACCCTCCCCCTTGACGCCGCAACTGGTAAGCCCACGTCCCCACCAAGAAGAGCAGGATTCACTGTATGCTGCGCAGTACTCCGGGCTCACATACCTTCGGCCGAGTTTTGGCACAGCCTACAGGGTTCGTTGGGATTATTCATCTCAACATACACAAGTCAGGCAAACAGAGCTGGATGGGCCAGTCCTGTCACTGAAGGAGCGGGGGTGGGGGGGGGGGGGGGGGCAGCATTGGTCACACGACCGGTAGCTGTAACTAGGTGGACCAGCCTCGGCTACACCTGTCACTGGGTGGACCAGCCTCGGCTACAACCTGTCCCTGGGTGGACCAGCCTCGGCTACACCTGTCACTGGATGGACCGGCCCCGGCTACACCTGTCACTGGGTGGACCGGCCCCGGCTACACCTGTCACTGGGTGGACCGGCCTCGGCTACACCTGCCACTGGGTGGACCGGCCTCGGTTACACCTGTCCCTGTGTGCACCAGCCTCGGCTACACCCGTCACTGGGTGGACCATCCTCAGCTATGATTGTCCCTGGGTGGACCAGCCTCGGCTACACCTGTCACTGGGTGGACCGGCCTCTGTTACCCCTGTTCCTGCGTGGACCGGCCCCGGCTACACCTGTCACTGGGTGGACTAGCCTCGGGTACACCTGTCCCTGTGTGCACCAGCCTCGGCTACACCCGTCACTGGGTGGACCATCCTCAGCTATGCTTGTCCCTGGGTGGACCACCCTCGGCTACACCTGTCCCTGGGTGGACCAGCCTCGGCTACACCTGTCCATTGGTGGACCAGCCCGGGCCTCACGTCCCACGCCAGCGAGGCCGGCTGGACGTGCCGCCCGTCGGGCCTGTTTATCGCGCCGCTGCTGACGACAGGGGCGGCTCCCGACGGCCGGCGAGCGAGCCGGCATGCACCCGGACCCCCGCCCCGGCGCCGCCAGGGCGGAGCCACGCCTCCGCTGCATGGCTCCCGCCCAACCGAGCTTCCGCGGGCACCCGAGTGCCCATGGCGGTCCGGGCGCGCACGCCCCTCTGGGCGACCTGGGCTTCAGCAGGAGGGTAACGGGACCACGGGTTACCTCCCTAACGAGGTGCCGGGAGGCAGCCGACTCTCAACTCTGGCACCCTCCATTAGCATCGCTAACGGTGTTACCAGGAGTTAATGGCTGGCTAGATGGTTGGCTTGCGTGCGAAGGAACGCGGCGGCTCGATACACTGCGTTGATTGTGATCCACTGGCCAAACGACGCTCGGGCGATGCAACATGCAACTGGTCGGTAAACGGTGCCTGCTGGAACAAAAGCACTCCGAACCAGCGCAGCAAATGGGCAAGCCTTCCCGTGCGACCTTCAGGCGAGGCCGACCAGTAAGTGGTCATCTTGCATGGCATTATAGAGCACTGAGTGGCGGGACGTGACAGTCCCCGGGCACCGGGCGTGAATGGATAACGAGAGTTCGTGATGACGCGAACGCCGCTGACGAAATCGTGATAGGTGGGGGCTCATTGAATGGTGAGAAAGCACTGGTGATAAGCGCCCGAGAAAGACAGGCACGCACGCCAGGCAGTTGGCTAATGACCTTAAGATACTAAACAAAGCCAGCAGCTCGGTCGACGGGTTCTTTCACCGCCTGCGCTCAATCAGCGGCATTCAGGCTAGATTCTTGCTCATGGCAAAGCGCAATGCTGGAATACGTGCGTCTTTCCGCGGTCCATTTATTCGGATTTTAAAGTGGAGCAGGAGCCAGCAGTTTTCTACTTTAATTGCAGGCATTGATGCACCTTAAGTACAATACAATTAGCATGCGATATAAGCTCTAAGCACCGCTGACGGCGCCACTAAAGGTTAATGGTTGGTTAAGCGACTAGCTCACGCGCAAAAGAAGCGCGACGCCGTTGATTGCACGCCAGGCTGCCAGACGTGGGGCCCGTTGTGATACACAGGCCGACCGGCGCCAGAGGACGACGCCGGCGTGACCTCATCGGACATTAAAGCCTATTTTCAAAGATCGCGGTAGGCCCCTGCGCAGCTCTTGAGATACGCATACGTAGCGTGGGTTTTCGCGCGCATAACGTGCACAAATCAATAGCAAGAACTGCGACTGCGCCGCACGTCCGTGACGTCAAGAAAGTACGCAAACAATAATCTAACAAATAAAAGTACGCAAACAATAATCTGACAAATTGCGTCAACTCGCTCCACAGCCGCTTCGCTCCGCAATCGCCAATCGTGGGACGCTACTAGCGCCAAAACCTTTCACACAAATCGCTCGCCCCTCGGACAAACGACTGCATGCGGCACATCTGTTCAGCTACAGCGGGCTCGACCTGACTACCGTGGCCGGCGTCGGTGAGCCGTCGCGGCAGACGGCTGCGCCCCGAGGCGCCCCGGCGCGCCCCGCCCCGCCCCGTCCAGTCGTGCCCGGGGGTCTGCTAGGGTGCTGGGTGGACTCCAGCTACCGTCCCTGACCAGGGCTGTGGGGCTGTCAGTTGCATGGCAGCGGCCGCCGTCACCGCAGACTGCGCCGGCTCCGCTGCATACGGCAGCGCTGCTCCGGGGAGACTGTCCGACGGCCGCCAGTTGCGATGGTGATGACAGCCAGCGATCACAAATGACAGCAGCGGCGGTTACGGCGAGGTGGCGCTTGTCCCTCCATGCGAGCGCGCTTAAAAAGCAGATGCTAAACCTTCAATCGGACATGCGAACAACGGTACGCATTGATGTACGGCGAAAGTATCGCTCCGACGATCAGGACAAACCTGAATTGAATGTGCGTACGTCGTGCAGCAATGACATATCATCATAGAGTTTCGGACTATCTTCACGCCATAAAAGGGGACCCCCGTCATATATGTGGCCGCCCTTCGATCCTGACAGTTATGAGACAAAATGTGCGCATATGTCCCATAAGTCGTGACACTGATGAGACGCGGCGCTCGCAAATGTCAGTCGAGCCTGGCCATGCCGAGCCCCAGAGCGGTCGGCCGTTCAGGAAAGCCTTGCATCGCGCCCTCCGCGGCCATCGCTGCGAGGGAGTGTAGCCAGCCATGAGAGACCCGACTGGGACACTGTGCTCCGGACGGCTTCCACAACGGCCAGGCGGGACCTCGAACAAGGACTTGCCGAATGGTTTTTATAACTGGGACAGAAAGAGCCATCACACCCGGTGCATCTGCCAGAATGCGTCACCACTTCTACCTCGAAATACGCCACATTATCGCCATCCAGCTGCTACGCTCCAGTCATCTGAGAAATCCCGCGCGAGCGGCATTGACCTGGATGGAGGACCCGCGTCCGCCGACGCTGTGGCGTGTCACAGGCCGGCCTGACCCGCCGCTGGAGCCGACCTTCGGATGCGCGCCGGGAGCCACGCGTCTGTCTGACTCGGACCTCGTCTCTGGGCGCCTCGGTCGGCACACGCCGCGTCAGAGTGGGGTCCCCGACCGTATGTGCCCAGGTCTACGCGTCACAAATCCTAGCCCGCAATATATATATAATATATATATATATATATATATATATATATATATATATATATATATATATATATTCTTATTGCATGCTAATGTCGGTTTTAATGAAGCCACATATCACATACACACAAAAGCTTCCGCAGCAGACGAAACGGGATTAACATATGCAAATGTATGCTTCAAATGTCGCTGCACACACCCACTTCTCCCGAGTGGACGGCCGACTCCGCTGCACGCCCTCCCGGGCGCGGCCTGCATGTCTCGAGTGTCGCCCCACCCCCACCCCCACTCTCTCCCCGGTGATAGCCGGCGCGTCGGCGTGGACGCCGCCACCGCACCTGTCTGGTCGGCGCCGCCGGCGTAGAAGGCCTCGTAGCTGTTCCAGCGTTGGACGGGGTCGGGCGCGCGGTCGACGCGGAGCGGCGCCGCCGCCTGGTCCTGGCCCAGGCTCGACGCCGAGAAGTGCAGCTCGACGCCGCCGTCCATCGGGAAGCGCATGTCTGCGGCGGCGGGGTCACGAGGGTCAGCGCGGCGCTCGTCAGGCCGACGGACGCGGACGCGGGGCGGCAGCAGGGCGTGACACGACACCCACGGCGAGCACGGCGAGCACGGCCCGCCGCACCGCGGCCGGAAGCGTTGCAGGCCGCCGGCCGACGATCCCCGGCTGGGCATCCGCCGCCGCTCAGCGGCGGAAGCCGTCCATGGCCGGCTGACGGAACTCACGAGCCGGCCGTGCACGACCTGCCGACCGTCACGGGCCGCGCCCACGGCCAATGTCGGGGCGCCCGGCTGGCGCGGACGCGCTCGTCGGGTGGGAGCGGCGCTGTTCTACCGGACGCACGGGCTGCACCCGCAGCCGTCCGGCGTCCGGCGTCCGGGGCAGGATGGACCGTGAGTCAGCGGCAGCCGCCGTCACCACAAAGGACATCATAGGAACGGGGCACAGCTGAACAGAACGGGGTCACACAGTAACGGAGCACAACCAAACAGATCAGAGATTCGCAGCAACGGAGCACGGATGAACATAACGGGGCTTCGCAGTACAGAAGGCCGGCGGAGCAGGACATCGCAAGCAGTCATTCACGGGTCGGATACACAGCCTGTGGGACAGCGTGCCACCAGAAGAGGTAAGGCTCTCGAACCGCAACAAAGCGGCATTCCAGCAGCCGGCCATGCGACGCAACGGCGGACGCCTCCGCCAGCCGGGCACTGCTCGTGACCGGCCTCCCATTGCCCGGCCTCCGGCACCGCGGGCGCCGTCTGCCGCCAGCCGACACACGGCCGCGGACGGCACAGGAGGGACGGACACTGTCGGCGCGGTCTGCCTCCAGCCGACACACGGCCGCAGACGGCACAGGAGGGACGGACGCTGTCGGCGCGGTCTGCCTCCAGCCGACACACGGCCGCGGAAGGCACCGGGGGACGGACGCTGTCGGTGCGACAGGCGGGACCAGCGGGCCGGTCCCCAGGGCCGGCCCGCTGACGGGGATACCCGGCGGCAGCCCGGCCGGCTCAAATGGTAGGGGAAATACCCGGGCGACGGGGCTCGTGGTGACAGTGATACGAGGCAGGGGCTACCAAGGGCCACGTTAACGTTGGATTAGAAAGGTTGGAGCTGTGATGACCAACATAAATTTTGTTCATTGACATTAAAACACACGGCGCACCTGCGGCCGAACAGCGGGAGATTACCAGAATGACAGAAAAATAGCAAACGACAAAAAGAAGGTAATGGAAACCCCTGAAATTTCCCAAAGCGTTGGTTGCACATATTTCCTGTTTGTGCAGCCTCTTTCTGAACCTGCCTGCTGCCACCCATCACGGCATCTCGAACGATGAATAAATGTATTAGCAAACCTGATCGTGTTGAGTGAGACCAGCAAACGTCCCTTTCTGCGCAGCCTTACCCTGTACCTGCCTGCTGCCATCCATCACTGCCTCTCGAAGAAGGCATCAATGTATCAGCAAGCCTGATCGTGCTGAGTAAGACTATCAACGGTGTGTTTTCACTTTCATGAGCCGTCGCTACCGGTCTCGTCAGTGTTTGTGTCTTTTCTTGTAGCGCTTATCTTACCTTTGTGCCATGCAATGGGACTGGGATCAAACGCTACTGAGGCAGCCAAGTGATGGCATGATTCCTTGATAAATTGACTTGACTTAAAGCTTGCGAGCTCTTTCACGGTGCACTCAGTCTCAATATTAAACCTCTCTTCACAAGCTGCGTCGGCGCGCAATCAAGGCTGCTGTCCCAGATTCGTAGCCGAAAATAGAAAAACTCGAACGGCCCAAGAGCCTCCACTTCCGACTTCACTCAGCTGGGCGATAATGATGATGACCCGCTCTGAGGCGCCCCGATCACGAGGCCGACCAAACTACCACTCTGTAGTTCCGCCAACAGCCGCTGAGCGGCGCCACGTACCGTCGCAGGCGTCGTCCAGGTCTTGCCGCGGGAAGCTGAGCACCGGGTCAGAGACGGCGCACGTGTGGAACTGCACGCGGAACACGACCTGGCGCGTGGTGGCCGACTCGCAGTGGTAGCACTTGATGAGGATGTCTCCCCGCAGTTGGAGCACCATCTCCGGACTGCCAGACGTGGAGAGAGGAAAGTGAGACGTCGCTAGTCCTGGTCACTCATTGAAATTTCTAAGACAGCAGCACATATAAAGACATGACGTAAAGAGACCCTCCAGAATCGCATGTCAACTGGATATTTCACGACGGAAATTCCTAGCCTAAGCGGTGCCACCTGAGGGTGCAGTGAGGCTGCGCAGCTGCACGCGCCGCAAATACAAATGTCTGATGACGGCACGCACGGCCCAGTGGCCACCAGCCGCCCACAACTGCGCCTGACCTGATGACGGTGTACTTGGCGCGGTCGTCGACGCTGTAGACGGCGGACGTCCAGACCGGCACCATGCCCTGGTAGACGCGGACGAAGATGCGACAGCCGCCGGCGGGCCGCAGCTGCGGCGAGCCCACCAGCACCAGGTGGTGCAGACCCAGGGGGCTACTGTTGATCTGGATCAGGCCCGACAGCAGGCCGGCGAAGTAGTTGACGTACCTGACAACGCGCGGTAACAGTGAGCCAGCCGCTCGCACCGACGTCACGCGTGGGGCTGACGCGGTGACGGGCATTCCATTATCCCGCGCAGGTTGTCGCGGTGGCAGGTGGACTCCCCATTTTGAAGGGCATTAGACACGAGGACTGAGCAGCCAGTGTGCCCGAGTCAGCTCCGTCCACCGCCAGCCTGCCGCTGGGGCGCCGCTGACGAGCCAGCCGCGGAGCGTGGCGCCCGACCGGCCCGGAGACGCCTCTGCTGAGGGACACGCTCCCTGGGGTCTACAGGCCCTCACGGCTGAGGCTTCCTTCATCCGGTCCACCCACTTCTCATGGAGCTATGGCTGTATCTAGCATCTCGTAAGCGTCTCACCCGTACTTTTCCCAAAGTTCCGCTCCCAATCTGGCACGTTACCCACTCCACTTGGGCGTCGTTGGGTTGGTTTAACGAGCCGTGAAGTCCTCTACTGAAGACAGAGATAAGGCGAGGAAGCGGGCCCGGCCACCGCCACTGCCCCCCCCCCCCCCCTCCTTCCCCGGCCATCGCCTCCGGCAGCTATGAGGGGGGGGGGGGGAGTGAGCTGGCAGACGTCATTCGCTGCAGGCGACTCTCAGAGTCATTGTCCGGAACGCGAGTGGCGGCGGACGCCCCCCACCCCACCCCTCCCACCTCCTCTGGTTGAGGCCAGGGGCGACTGCGGGCTCCACCCACCGACCCACCTCTCCACCGGCCCGCAGCAAAGTCAGACACGCCGTGCCGGCAAGCCGCCGGCGTCAGCCAGCACGGAAGCCCGGCTCACTACAAAACCGGCCGGCCGCAAGCCAATGAGGTCCGAGGCACCGCATTCAATGAACGCCAATGGTCGCCGTCCATCGCCGCTATCATGGCGTATGGGTGCAGGGTGCAGTGTCGCCTGTTCACGAGTGGCGTTAGGTGCCATGTCGAATCACAGACGACATTCGTCGGGAGCGCGCGGTGCGGTGGCACGTAGTTGCACGCCAAAGGACGTGAAAGATAATGTATTCCAGAAACACGTCTTGCCGTCGTGCCTGTGGCGCTGATGCTTACAACGAGCTGGACTGAAATGTTCTGCATCGTACTGGCAATGCACGCGTCTAGAAAACGCGAGCAGGCCATGACGGCGTTTTTAAAGTTCTGGGCGCAGCATCAATAAAACAAGATATGCATGCATAATGACCAGCATGCTCTGATCCCTGTCGATCCAGCGCACTGGACACCGGCGAATCCCCTTCCACAACGTAAACCGGCCTGGCCATCGCGCAGGACTGCTACAAGCCCATCAAACATATGTATTCCAACTGCATTCTCAATGTGAAGATGGTATTGTACAGCGGTTCACCCTCAACCGATCCTGACCAAATGAAACATTTCCCTTATTCGCGGTCTGCTTTCGTCCGCAACACAATGGGCTACGGCGGAGCGTGATCATATTGAAAGCGCCACGTTCGCGTGCTCGCCTCCGATAGTAACCAATGCCTCCGACGGTACGGGTACGCCTGAGTACGCAATATCCGCCTGGGTACGCAACGCCCAGGCGGATATTCAGCTCAGCAAACAAGCTTGGCTAAGCCCGACACCTTGCAGGCGCCACGCCCCAGCTCACCGTTTCTGGCTCGGATGGTCCAGGTGTCGGATCTTGTCGTCAAAGAACTTCTTCATGGCGAACCTGTCGAGCGCCTGCTCCGGACTGCGGCAGATGTTGGAGTAGTGGATGTACGCGCTGACGACCACGCCAATCCGGTCCCAGCCGCCTCTGCAACAACGCCCGCCGTCGACGGTGAGCCGGGTAGAGCGCGCAGCCGAGACGCTGCGTGACGCGTGACGCGTCCGAGGTCCGACGCGACACGTCACGTCACGCCACGTCACGCGTCAGGTTACTGTGGCGCGCTGACCCGGTGGGTGATGAGAACTGAGAACTCCGCGTGGTGGCGACGCCGTGTTGAAACGGCTGCAATCGCTGAACACGAACGCAGTGCAGATCTGTATTCGCCGGAACGACATCAGTGCCGAAGACACCTGGCCACAACAACATGTCGGGACAGTGCGGCAGTCAGGTCTGGCCCAGCCCGGCGCCGCCTGCCAGCTTCAGCGGCTCGGCGCGCTGCAGCCGGCGGCCGTCGGAGCCGACGACGGGAAAGATAACGCCCCTCCCCCGCCCACCTCTGCAAAAACAACGGCGCAGATCGCGGCCGGACAAAGGCCTGACGTGTCGAGGCCGTGCCAGCGTCTGGGCGTGCCAGGCCGATGGTGGCGAACCCGTGCCATCGCTTGGCGGGGCGAGGCGATGGCGGAGGAGTCGTGCCGTTGCGTGTCATATTTCATGGAGTCGTGCCATGTTTCATGGAGCGTGCCATATTTTTCTAGGACTGTTTTGTTATCTAACTGCTCCGTCTTTTTGCGGGGGGGGGGGGCAGTGTTCTTTCACGGTGTGTGATCTGGTCTCACATTGAGGTCAGGCAAGCATGGGTGAGGATAATCAGGGTCCCTAATGGAATACAAAGCTCCACACATGAGGAACGATGTCACAGGAGCTATTGACTTCAAATGGGTGACGGGGGAGGGAGGAGGGGGGAGGGGGCTGGTGTCTGGTGCCAGGTGTATCTAGTGTCGGGTGTCGCATAGGCGTGGTGCTGGATGCTGAGAACCAGCTATATCTACTACTGGGTGCCGACAGCAACGGTTATTGTGTACATATTCTACATTTCTATTTAAGTGTCGGCCGCATCAGTGGTAGGATGCCACGTGCATATAAAAAGGCTGCAACGCATATGTGGTAACGGTGGCGAGGGTGACCAGGACGCCTGGCGCCGACTGTGAAGGCTGCCGGGTGTTTGCGGCGCCGGACTGCCGGGGAAGAGGGTGTCCGCCGGGCGTCAGGTATCTCTTATGCCTGGTACGTCTGGCGTTTGGTGACGCGGGTGTCAGGCATATCCCATGCCGAATGACTGTATCTGAGATGCCGTATGCGGTACCAGGTGCCCGGTACGTCCGATGCCAAATGCCCGCAGGGTACACCCTGTGCCGGACCCCCGCCGGTGCCGGGTACCGAGGGCGACGGGAGTCCCTGAGGGCGCCGGCGCCGGGTACCTGTCGCCGCTGTCGCCGCGAGAGTGCAGCACCGCCACGTTGTGCGGCTGGGCAGCCGTCCAGCTGTCGATGGCCTTGCAGATGCTGCAGAGCTTGTCGAGCGGCGGCGCCAGCGTCTCGGGCCAGCCGTACTCGGCCACCTGGCGGTGCAGCTCCGACAGCTCCGGACGGCGCTCCGACAGGTTGAAGATCTGCGGCGTACCGCACAGGGCGGGTCAGGTCAGGTCAGCTCAGATCAGCTCAGTTTAGCTCAGGCCAGCGTAGCTCAGGCCAGCTCAGCTCAGCTTAGCTCAGCTTGGCTTGGCTCAGCTCATGTCGTACTCATCTCAGCTCAGCTCAGCTCAGCTCAGGTCGTGCTCACTCAGGCCTAGGCAGCGTGGTTCCGGAACTTCCAGATGACGCTTCGCTCGTGCGTGTCATGACTGTCTGCATGTGTGTCACGCGTAACCACTGCATAGACCATCCGACTACACGGTCGTCACGTCAGCCGGTGTTAGCGTCACGCATATTCTGCTGCACAGACTCACTCCGGTCGGACGGAGGCGCATTGACAGAGCGGGTTACTACGTCCGACGTCTTGTCTGTTGAGTACGCCCACATCGACGCCACGGCATTTGGCTGAGGTTGACTTCTTTCGCATCGCTACAGTGCTGACACGACATTGTTCGCAGTTGGTTAAGCTGGATTGTTTTTTTTTTTAAACAGTGTTCTAGTCGTTCTTAGCAAATCAAATTACATCACTTCCTCATACGCCCTACCCTTCAAAGAGAACCTTTTGGAACCTATTAGTTCCAGTAGGTCCGGGAATCTTTCAGTTTCAACATGACCGGGTATCTATTGGTTTCCAGACACCAATAATTGAATGCCTTCCTGTCAATTACAAGACGTTTGCGTTAATCCTCGGCAAAATGGATCCTTACCGGCAGGACCACATTCCACCGGTCCACCCATCACCAAAAGACCGGCACAGCTCTAATCCCAATTACCATGTAGCTGTCGCCGTGCTTGGTCTGCAGCATCTGCGCCACTTCCCGTAGATTTTCCCGGTAGGTGGCAGCATCAACGCCCGGTGGAAAGCAGAGCGCCATCACGCGCTGGGTGACGAAGTTGAGCTCCATGCTGGTCTGACCTGGCCGCTCCCGAGACCTCCGCCCAGCCACCAACCTGCCCTGAGGGAGCTGTAACAGAGCGAACGGGCACAGGTCAGCACGGAGACCACCGCTTAGCCACTAACCTGCCCTGAGGGAGCTGTAACAGAGCGAGCCGGCACAGGTCAGCACGGAGACCACCGCTCAGCCACCAACCTGCCCTGAGGGAGCTGTAACAGAGCGACCCCTGTTAACAGTAACCCGGCACAGGTCAGCACGGAGACCTCCGCCCAGCCACCAATATGCCCTGAGGGAGCTGTAACAGAGCAAGCCGGCACAGGTCATCATTAAAATAGTCTGCGCAGATAACCGCCAGACCGCGCTGCGCTGGGGTTTCCTAGCTCGATGTTTCTTCTCAAAGTTGACCGGGAACTTGCCCTGAGGCGGCCCCATCCGTGGGAACGGGTTCCGGCCGGCCGTGGCAGCAAGAGCGACTGCGTCCGGAAAGTTCGGTTCCTATCGTCTGGTGTTAATCGCTCCAATAAGCCGACGCCAAGTGCCACTTGAGCAGAAGGAGCTCGCCAATTCACGAGCGAGCGTCGGACGCGGATCGGGCCTCTGCTGCAGCATGACCTTGGTGACACTGCCGCCGCACTGTTGACACGACGCGGCGATACTGGCGTGCCGGTCGAGCAAACCGACTCGATCAGGGCGTCCATTGTGCAAATGCCGAAGTGGCCGCCCGCCGGCAGGTGGCGCTGATACGGTGACACGGCGCGAAGCCGCGGCCGCCGGCGTCCGCGGGCGGCGGGCCTGTGAAGACAGCACGTGTGCCGCCACCGGCCGCCGCCGCCGCGGTGGACAGACAGAGCCAGCCCTTGTTCTCACGAGCGTGTGGCGCCGCGATAGGCGCGCGGACCGCTGCCGGCTGCAGGGCGGGACTGCGGTGCTCTCCCGCGTCGGTGTGGCGTGGAGGTGAGCTCCAGCTCTTGCCGGCGGCGTGCCAGTGGTACTCTGTGTAATGGGCTGTGCGCGTGGCAGTCGAATTATGCGTGATCTTGGCGAGCAATCTTTCCTTTTCAAGCAACCTTTCGGTCACGAGGTCAGAAAACCAGCATGTGGGCGACTAAGCGTTAGCGCAGCCAATGCACGCACTGCATCACTCCAGAAATTCGACGAATTCAGTGTATGTCACCATATGAAGGACTCTCATAACATGCATGCCAGGCATTTGGTTCTGTGCCTGGTTTGGTGGGGCAGAGACCGAAGCCCAACCCGAGGCCGGAGCCGGAGCCGGAGCCGGAGCCGCGACTGGAGCAGGGGCTGAAGCCGGGCCGGGGCCGGAGCCGGGCCGGGGCCGGAGTCGAAGCCGCGGCTGGAGCAGGGGGCGAAGCCGGGGCCGGGGGCCCGAGCCGGAGCCGCGGCTGGGGCAGGGGCCGGGGCCGGAGCCGGGCCGGGGCCCGAGCCGGAGCCCGCGGCTGGAGCAGGGGCCGAAGCCGGGCCGGGGCCGGAGCCGGGGGCCGCGGCTGGAGCAGGGACCCGTCAACAGCGACGCTGGCCGGCTGATTGGCCGGCACCAGCGGCTACCGTAAATATTTACCGACCAGATGGACGGCTGTCGACTCCCGACACACCGACCAGGGAGGCGTCAGCCGACTCCCGGTACACGGACCAGGGGGGCGCCAATCGACTCCCGGTACACCAAACAGAAGGGCGCCAGTCGACTCCCGACACAACCGACCAGGGGGCGCCAATCGACTCCCGGCACACCGACCAGGGGGCGTCAGTCGACTCCTGGCACACCGACCAGAGGAGCGTGAGTCGACTCCCGGTACACACCAACCTGAGGGGCGCCAGTCGACTCCAGGTACACCGACCACGGGAGTGCCGGCCAATCCCCGACACACAGGGGGCCGACCCCGACTCAGGCGTCAGTTCACAGCCGCGCCGTCAGCACCGTCTCAGACCGGGCCGCCGGTCGTTCGCGTCGCACCGTGCCGAGTCGGCCCCGGTGGGACCGGTCCTGCAGCCGCGCGCACACCGCTCTGATCTCGTTACGCGGCCCGACCGGCGGCCGCCGGCGCAGCTGAGCTGGCGGCCGGCGTTCTTCTACGTCAAAAGCGTCCGCCGCACGCCTCGTCACGCGCTGCTGCGGAGCGTCTCCGCTGGTGAAGCGAGTCGTCGCTGGCTCAGCAGCGCCGGCCTCGTCAGCCTGCGGGACGGCGTTCTCCTGGTTCTGCGGCGCACCGTCGCGGAGCTCGCGCGCCAGCGGGGGCCCAGGTTGCGCTCATGGTTGGCGCGAGAGTGCGGCGGAGGACTGCTGAATGGCGCCAGCTGATCATCCTCTCCGATTGGCGGGAATCATAGTGGCCGACTGGACTCCCGACTGGTGTTGGCGGGACTCCTGACTAGTGCTAATTTGACTCCCGACTGGACTCCCAACAGGTGCCGACTGGACTCCCGACTGGTGCCGACTGGACTCCCGACTGGTGCAAACTGGACTCCCGACTGGACTCCTGACTGGTGCCAACTGGGCTCCTGACTGGTGCCGACTGAACTCCCGACTGGTGCCGACTGGACTCCTGACTGGCGCCGACTGGACTCCTGACTGGTGCCGAATAATGTTCAGCACAGGCTGATGGACGCGACGCTGGACCCAGACGCCCGGAGCTCGTGACCACGCAGCTGATTGCCACCCATCCAAAGCACGAACACGTCTCTCGGCGGGTCACAAGGACCATGGCGGGCAGCACGTGCCGTTCGGAGGTAATGGGTCATTCCAGCAAAGCTTCTGTTACAGTCAGATATGCCCCATTCTATGCTACATTTGTCCCTAGAAGCAATCCTTTCCATCTCAGCGTTTCGAAGTGCTTTCCATCCCTGAGTCGCACCTGCGACTCCCATCAAGTGCGGAGAGATTGGACCAGAAGCTCACGCGCAAATCCCATTTTGTATGCAGATTTACCTGTGCCCGCGCTTTGCAAGCTGGTGCCTGGCCACGGTGTCACGCGCACCTCATAGCCGCCACGCCGCTCTCACCGGTCGAGTCACTGGCTTCACCGGCAGGCCACCGATCACATGCCGTTTCCGGTTGACAGCCCGAACTTAATCCGCTGAATCACTTACAACTTCTGATTCGATTCCCACCACGGGATTCGTCCGTCGCAGTCCGCTGGGTGGACTTCAGCCACCGCTCGAACCGTCGTCCTTCCCCGCTTCCGGCAGCCAGTAAAGCCCCGGCTCTTCTCTGAGGTCGCCCCGCGTCAGTTCGGTCCGCACCCCGCTGCACTCCCCCCGCTCCGCCGCACCCGCGCCCGGGCGGCTGCTGGGGTGCGGGAACGCCGCAGCACTCCACCGCGGGCGCTGCCGTCGGCGACACACTGCGCCTCGGACCGCAGCGGCCACGAATCGACCCGGCCAACCGGGCTGCACGCCGCGATTAGATACAGCCAAATTGATCTGGCCGTGGCCGCACCTGAGATAAGGGAGCGCGTTGCGGACGGGAGTCGGGCCGGCGGCGCCGCAGAACCGGCCGGCGCGCGGCGCCGAGCGGGCCGCCCAACCGGTCAGAGCCGGGCCCCGCCGGCTCCACCCGCCGCGGGCCGTCCCACGGCCGCCCGGGCGCGCCGCTCCGGCCCGGAAGGTCCGCCGCCGAGAGAACGGACCCATGGTCCCCGCAGGCTGACCAGGAGCGTGGTGCCAGACGCAGGCCGACGCGTCTCCCGCTGGGACGTCCCGCACGGACCGTAACCGACACCACGTTGTCAGGAGAGGCCGACCGCGAATGTCGGCATTGAGCCGACCACCAACCTCAAGTGCGCGGGAACGCTGAAGTGTTGCCGTGCGTGCGTGCCCATACGGCAACGAGAGCGGAAAGCAGGACGAAAAATGGTCCGATCAGCCTGATAATGCTGATTAGTTGTTTCTGTGCCAGAGCACCTCCAGGAAATTTGTCCAGACGCTGGGCTTTTGAGTCGGCAGCTGAGCTCACGGCTACTAGTGCCAAGAAGGCAATACACGGGAGGACGTGCCTCGGGGACTGCTCACTGACAAGGCGGGAGGACACGCCTCGAAACTGCTCACTGACAAGGCGAGAAGACATGCCTCGGGAGCTGCTCACTGACAAGGCGGGAGGACAAGTCCCGGGGACTGCTCACTGACAAGGCGGAGGACACGCCTCAGGGACTGCTCACTGACGAGGCGAGAGGACACGCCTCGGGGACTGTTCACTGACAAGGCGGGAGGACAAGCCTCGGGGCTGACCAGTACGGCGGGAGGAAACGCCTCGGGGACTGCTCACTGACAAGGCGAGAGGACACACCTCAGGGACTGTTCACTGACAAAGCGGGGGGACACGCCTCGGGGACTGCTCACTGACAAGGCGGGAGGATTCTCTTCGGAGCTTTACATGACACACACACACACACACATATACATATATATATATATATATATATATATATATATGCGATATACTGCGGCGATGTGCGCGGCGCCCGCGGCGTCGCGGACTCACCGGTTTAGTTGGTGGCTGCCGTGGTTTCACTAGTGGGTCATTCTGGAGCTGAAAAAGAACAAAAGAGTTAGCCGACCACCCTTACCGTCAGCAATTAGCACGCAAGACGCCGATGGTTTTTAACAAGGTGATCAGTCTTCGCCAGTGTCCAGAAACCGGAACGTTTTAATTGGGCATAATATAGCTGACACACAAAAACGATGCAACTGTCAATGTCTTACGCCGTTTTCTGACAGATTTGCTCAGCACCGGACGGGCTGGAAGAACGAAAGGAACTCCTGGTTTCAGGTGCTGTGAATGTCAGACAAAAGCACAAGCAACGAAAACAACAACAATAATCCGATGCAGCCGGAAGGGAAGCATATTATTATTAACTGTTATCTCGTCAGAATGCAGAGCATGTGTCCGAATCCAAAAGACGTTCATGGTACATAGCAATTGTTAAAGGGTTATATTGGCCGGGATTGGGTGCAGCTAACATAAATTTGTTGGGTTACATGCGAAGAACATTGCATCATCCACTACAAAGTCCCACGGTGTCTTCAGCTATGCCGATAGTCGCCCTTCCGTGAAAATACTGTGGCATTGGGTACGCATTTATGAACGCTTGCCGGAGCCACAAAATACAAATTGTGTCAACAAAATACGCGGCTGGTATACACCGCAGCAGCGGTGCATACCAGTCGCGTGTTGACTCATTGTTCTGCCCTCTACGTACACGTGTAACATAAACATACCTATTGGTACGCGCATTTTCGGAACATTATTTGCAATAATAGATTTAGAGTCATCCACTAGCGTCCCACTTCAAGAATGCGTCCTCCTTGGTGCAACAGCGTCTCCGCAAGCGCACGGCAGTCTTCGGAAGCGCTATCAGCCGGTGCGCAGAACACCCGAAGCAATCCGCCGCTTGTCCCGCCTGGCCACGGCCGCTGAGCCCCGGCGTTGCGTCCGCACAACACGCCTGTTGCAGTACCCGGCGGCGCGCGAGCCACCGAACAATGGCCGGGGCTCGTACGGAAGCTAACGGCTCCGGTTCGCGGTCAGGTGACATGAGGCCCTCAACTGCGTGACAGCATCGCAGCGACCCTCTGACACGCCCCATCAGCACGTGACATTACTGCTGTGACCCCACAGCGATGGCACGGCCGCGCGACCCCCGCGCCGCGGCGGCGGGACGTGCGTGTCCGACCTGCCGGCACCGGCGAGCGGGCCGACGACAGGTGCCGATGAGGCGGCCACCCCGCCCCGCCGCCACCCCCAGGCCGCCACCGTCAGCCGCATTGATCCCCGCCGGCGGCGTGTCCCCGTCACAGTGCCGGTCAATGGTGGGTCGTGCACCGCGCCCAGCCCACCGCACTGCGCATCGGCCACTTGCCCGAGCCCGGCTGCCAGCCGACGCGAGCGTACGCCGTCAGTTACGCCGAGTTTGACCCACGGAGAAGCTGAGTAGAGCGCGTGAACATGCCTTTGGTGAAAGAACAGTTCACCCAACTAGGCTCAAAACTGCCGAGCAGGCGGCTCCCCGTGCAGTTTTTCCACTCCTCCATCTCGTTGTCTCCGACAGCTCGTCGATGAGATTACAAAGCGAGCACCTGTCAGCCGCTCACACTACCCTGAGACCTCCGAGAGCTGCAGCCTCAACCCAGGTGCGTCGATCGAGCGCCAGCGCGCCTCGTTCGACGCTTCAAACCGGTGACAATCGTTCGCGGGAGGCCGGAGCGGCGCGTGCAGGCCGTACGGCGGCCCAACAGGTGCCACATCCCACTCCACCAACAGAGCTGAGGGGTGCCACGCATCAGCACGCAGGATGAGAAGTCGAACACCCCGACGATAGTCTATGCCAGCCACCTGTGACTCAGGCGTGAAGCCAAGAGCTCCTATTCTACCAACAATGATCGCAACTATTGCAAAATAGCCATGCTTGTAGTACATATATCCGACGTAGTTTGCTCCTTTACGGGACGTCTGTCAGGGCCAAGCGACGGCATGCAGCGATGTGCCCCCCCCCCCCCCGCGCCGGACCGCGCCGGCACGCGCCGCCGGCATCCATGCCTCGCTCCGTACTCGTGCGCGCGCCTGGTAGGCGCTGATGTCGTGGCTGAGCCGGCGACGCATCTTGGCGGCGGCGCGTGACCGGCGCGGCGCCCGGCCGCCGTCCGGCTCGCTCTCCGAGCCCGTGTCGGCCGCGGCCGCCGGTGCCGGTGCCGCCGCAGCCGGCACCGGCTCCGGTAGACTGCGCGTCATGCGCTGCTCGCGCCGCCGCCGGTGCTGCTCGCGCTGTTCGCGCCGCTGCTGGTAGGGCCAGGTAGTCCCGGAAGTACTCCATGTTACGCAGGACCTGCTGCATGGCTGCACGGTGGCTGGAGCTACATGGCCGCGCCGGTGCGGTCCGGCCGGCGCCGTCAGCGGGCGCCGGTGAGCCCTCTCGCAGCGCACACCCTCACGCAGCGGCCCGGAGATCACGCTCACCACCCGCCGGCATCGCACCAAGTGGGGTCCGTGGACTGTTTCAGACCGGATATCTTTGTCCTTCCCACGCGACCTCAGCGCGCGCTCAACAGAAAGTCAACACCACTGACACCTCTTCCACAAGGCAGACACGAGCTGCCCTCTCAGCTGACGCGTTCACATTCGGAGCCTCTCCAGCACGCGGTTCAAACGAAGCCCATGCAGTTGGGGGTCAGCACGGCCGCGGGCGGCGGGGTCTTCCCGTGCCAGTTCCCTCGGCGGTCCACTCGACCCGCTTCCGGGCCGGGGCGCCGGCGTGCCCGCTTCAGGTCACCGACGACACTGCTTGTTCGCGCCGATGTGCACAGGGAGCTGAAGTCGGCCTCGAGCTGGCCACCGCCGCACCTCCGCGCGGTGCCCCGAGGCGGTCAGCCGCGGTCGCTCGGCGTGGCCGTCTCTCCGGCGGCTGGGACGGCGCGTCGGGCATCGACTGACGGCGCGGCGTGCTGCAGAGACGGCGGCGCGGCCGGAGCTGCGCGCTCCAGCGCCGATCGATGCCAGCCGAGCTGCAGACACTGCCGGGACAGCATGGGAGCAGCGACCGGGAAAGGACTAAACAGCAGCTGCCGGGACAGGATCAAACAGCAGCAGCCGGGATAGCATGGAGCAGCGACCTGGATAGAACCAACAGCAGCTGTCGGAACAGGACTTAAACAGCAGCTGCCTGGACAGGATCAAACAACAGCTGCCGGGACAAGATCAAGCAGCAACTGCCAAGACCGGATCGAACAACAGTCGTCGGGACAGAACTAATCAGCAGCTGCCGGGAAAGTATTAAGGAGCAGCTGTTGGACAAAATCAAACAGCAGCTGCTGGGGGCAGAACAGATACCAGCTGCCGAGATCTCCTTGATTTGTCTCACTTTCCAGTGTTTCTTTCTGTCCATGAAGTTTATCTCATTCCATGCCGGCTGGCCATCGACTTCGGACCATGTATGCTTGTCACATCAGCATTCAGACCTCCGCTCAGACGGTTACTTATTTGCGTTTTTCCTGTCCGACCGATACAGGACGTCCCTTCTGCCATGGAGGATCTGCTCCGATCTGTCGTATGTCGTATGCGCGGTTCTTCACGGGCTCCTTGGTGTCGGTGGTCTGACGTTGGTCAGCGTTTCCCGGAGCGTTGAGACGCTTTTGAAGGCCACCCGATATCCCATCGTCCACACATCACTATAATCTTGTCTGACAGGTCCCTTTCGTCGGTAATGATACCGTTGATAATAAAAATGATGCCGGTAATGAATACCGCAGTTCCATTATTATTTTGGCATCCCTGTTTGTTCTGGATGATTTTCGGCATCTAGGCTGAGAAGTGTTTTGGTTACCCGTTCCTGCGGAGTGCCTGGGTTAAGTGGCTTAATTCTCACTTTCCCTAGTTTCATCATCGTCCATCTGACGACATTTGCACAAAACTGAAGGCATCTCACCATGCCTTTCTTGACCGCCTTCAGGTGGCGCGACTGGAAGTTCACGCAGCGACCGGTTGCGGTTGGTTTCCGGCATGTCCCCGGCAGTTCGCACTCTTTTCGGTAGCGCGTCATCGGTCTCCAACCTGTTCGGCACAATGGTGACGGCTTCATGTGTCGGTCCGTTGTTGCACAGGCTCGCTACGTCGAACCTGGTTCTTTGTAGGCCCTGTGTCTGGTCAGACGCACATCTTGTACTACTGAAGTGGAGTAGACTGATTTCTTCACGCATGACAATGACTTGCTCCTGGAAGGACTGATTCTATTGATGATCACTGTCTTCTTTCCGCTTGACCATGAGCTCGCTTAGCGGACAGCAAGTGGAGTCCGAAGCCGACAATGTGTCTTAGATATATGTTGGTCTTGTACATCTTTGGTAGTACGTAGATGTGAGTTAGCTTGCCGTGATGTTGATTTAGATTTTGGCATTGAGCAGCGTATGTTGATAATCTGTTTCGTCCTTGTTCATCTTTAGGAGACTGGTCAATTTCCGTTCGGTTGCTGACGTAGGATCTTTCTTCGGTTTGCTGCATGTCACACCACTCACCAAGTTGTTCGTTCACCTTGCGAGTATTTTCTGCTTTGGTTTATGACTACTGTGGGCAAGGTCTTTGTCACCTGGGAATGTGATGGCAATCTCGTTATTATCCAGCGTCTTGATGGCCGCTTTTTCTTCTTTTGTCGCATTTGGCTTCTGTGGTTGGACACTTTCTGATGCTTGCCTGACATTCTGGTGTAGCTCATCTTCCGGTTTTCTCACGTCCCGCGTTGCAGTCTCTGCTATATGGGCCACGATGCCTGGACAGTGCCTTCGCGACTTCAAAGCAGCGAAGTTCGGTCCTTCCGGTTCGGTCCTTGAGGCTGTGTTATTGCTCTCGAGCTCCTCCAGCTTTTGGACGTGAATCTCCTTCACCCTCTGATCTTTGGCTGCGTGAGCTCTTGTGGTGAGTTCCATAATGGGGGTGAGATCTTCATCCGTCCTAGTTGTGACCTCGCCTTTGACTCGACGTTTGATAATGACTTTTCTAGATTTGTCCTTGCTCCAGCGGTGGAGTCCGTCCAGCTCGCCTCTCAGAGCGTGACTCGTTATTTCATCTATCAGTCTGACCCGTTCGCTCACGATTGAGTTTCAATTTTAAACCGTGCGCGATCAACGTCTCTACAACTGACCGAAAAGCCGGATGATTCTTTGCGCGCACTAGCCTGATGCTCCACTTTCTCCATTTTCGTCACCTGGATGCCGCGTCGGGTCGGCAACAATTAGCTGCAACGTTACAGAATGAGACCAGGCGTGCGTAACAACGAATAGAAAAATTGTTTGGACTATCGTCTCTGTTCAGTGTGCAAGTAAACACACAACGTCTTGGCCATTCCACCACTTCGTCGGGAATCTTTCCAGAACGATGCCGCTTCTTATATATGAAGTGTGCAGCCATACGTCACGTGAGCAGATGTCCTGCGATGTAAGCAGCTGTCTGTGATGTAGCAGCTGTCCTGTGATGTAAGCAGATGTCTGTGATGTAAGCGGCCGTCTGTGATGTAGGCAGCTGTCCTGTGATGTAAGCAGATGTCTGTGATGTAGGCAGCTGTCTGTGATGTAAGCAGCCGTCTGTGATGTAAGCAACTGGCCACGATGTGAGCAGGAAAGAGCTGATCTTTGAGCGATCAAATCACTGAGACAGGGAACTAGACTGCAGCTGGTGAAGAGCTACCAGGACATGACCTAGCCTCTTCGGGATTACCAAACAGCGTGAGCAAGCGTCAGCAGTGTGGGACAGGCCCGGTACAACGTTCTGACCTTTCTACCCTAACTGCATCGCGGCAGTTCCCGCCTACATCCCAACAGCACGTTGCAAAACACTTAGATTGCAATGCCGTCACGAGTCAATTGCAGCATGACATCACACCAAATTTCACCTTTCAAATGGACGCTCCCTCCCCACATCACAAGTGAGCTTGAGGTGAAGCTCGGCAAAAATCGCACAGAATCACGCGATGCCACGGACCACGCCACGTAACGGATCACGTCGTGGAGCGAATCACGCGGGACGTGGCCTTCGTCGCTCCGACGTTGCCGTCTTTGGCGCCGTCAAGGACCTTCCATGTAATTTGGAAGTCGCTGGAAGAAATTACAAGAAACGGCGAATTTGGCATGGCGGGTTACTCAATGCTTTCATACCGTGGGTGCGATTCTTGTCACTGGGAAACACATAGGCCAAAATTCAGTCTTGTCGACACATTCGCGCGATTAGTGCCTGAAGTGTTCGGTTTTCAACTCACAGTCAAAGCTTTGATCTCAACCAAACGGGAGCTAATAAAATAAATCATGCCGATAATAGGGTTCAGTGAACTCAACATAAAAGGAGAAGTCCACGAAAAATATCACGC